TCTTTTCAACCCAACTAGAGAATACTTTGATTGAAGCCAAGAGCCTTATCTTGTTCTTTTGTTTCTCTTTTTTCAGAATTTAACAATATCTTTAGTTCAGTGAATATGTTGTGTGTGCATTTTTTTAATACTCTGCTTCATAATTTTTAAAGGAATTTCAGTATTAATAATGCTTAGATCATGATCTCGTACATTGTATGGAACGCTTCACGAATTTGCGTGTCATCCTTGCGCAGGGGCCATGCTAATCTTCTCTGTATCGTTCCAATTTTTTTTTTAGTATATGTGCTGCCGAAGCGAGCACAATCTCGTACATTGTAAACATTAATAAAGGTTAGTTTTTGTCATCTAAAAATCAATATAGAACTGAATGATCGATTATTGAAGTTCTTCTCATTTCATGCTTTTCTGATTTTCCTTTTTATTCCTAAATTCAAGATTTGAGGAATCTTAGAACTGGAAAATACTGAAGATCATCTAATACAGTCTGTCCCTTCACTTTACAGATAATATGCCTAAAGAATAAGGAGCTGTAATGGTCTAGTGGTAAGGAGTTACACGGTAACCCAAAGGTATGCTGTTCAAGTCCACTAGCTGCTCCTCAGGAAAAAGATGAGCAGACTCCTTCTGTGCAATTTACAGCTTCTGAAAACCTTCGGGAGAGCCATCTCCGAGTCAGTTCTGACTCCACGACATATAACAACTTCATCATGCCTAAAGTTTAGGAGCTTTGTTGTTTTTAAAGAAAATTTTGTTTTCATTGTGGTTTTAACCAGCGTTTACAGAGAAGTTAGATTTCCATTCATTCATTGTTGTACATTTTACCCTATTCCCTTCCCTCTCCCCCAATTCATCTTTTTAAAAAAATATTCATTTATTGTTGAACAATTACCTACACACACCCCCCAGTCCTCTTTGCACTGATATTTCTCTTATTTTGGGCTGTTGTTGTACATATAATGTCTAATCATATATTAATTTTAGACAGTTCTTTGTTTTATCTGTTCCAGTGCAATGGTCATTATCTATCTACTCTTATCCTATTCTCCTCCCCACCTCCCATGTCAGACCTGCTTTATAACAGTGGTGCTATGCAGTATTTGTCCTTTTGTGACTGAGATATTTCACTCAGCATGACGTGCTCCAAGGTCCCCCATGTTATGTAATGTTTTATGAGATCACAGGGTTAAGTAGATTTTAAGGCTATCTAGTCCATCTTGCTGTTAAAATCTTGCTCAGCCAAGGGATGGTTTTACCCCTCAGATGACTCTCAACAACATCTGGAATAATTTTTAAATTCTCTTATCGGGGGCAAGTGTGGGCACTGAAATTCCTTGAACACATAGGGCAGCTCTCACGACAAATAATTTTTGTTCCAAAATTTTCTAAGTGCTGAGGCTGAACAAACTGTGCTGTACGTAGCTCTCTGTCCTTTTTAATTTTAACCTTCATTAAAGGAGACTTACCTGCTTCCCTAGCTAACCTGTCCTGTTATCACAGAAAGTCCTTGATACCAGATTTCGTCTTCATTTATTATTTCTTCCCCCCCTCCCCCGCCATTTTCCTTGTTTTAAGGAACAATTTAGTGAAAATATGTGAGAAAAAAAATACATTTTGCAGGGCAGTTTTCCTTTAAGACTGTGGGAGATCTGTTACAGAAATTAACAGAGACTTACTGTCTTGAGAATAGTAGTTCAACAACAGCTTTTTCAGCCTTTTTTGTAGTGTTCCTTGATGACTGTGCTTCTCCTGTCAGTATCAAAAAGGGATTGAAAGAAAGAAGCAGCTAGTTGTTCGTCACCCTCTAGAATGAAGAGAAAGGGACAGAAAGGCAGCCCCATGGCTGCCTTCTTCTATAGCAGCTCTGTTCCCTCCCACTTCCTTATCTCACTGTCCTATTTCTAAGGCTGCAAGTACAGTGGTGACCACTGTGGATCGGTCATTGTCAGAACTTTGTGGAGAAGACAGCAGAATTCCTCCTCCAGCAAGATGCATCATGGGTTACAATCTGCTTTGCAAACTTGCCTGAAGGAAGAAAGTGCAAATGTCCTAGTCTGCAGTTTGGAAGAAAACCCTAGGTGTATATTCTGCTTTTTCCTGAGTTTGCAGGCCATCTTTTCTTTTCCCCTCACTAATTTTGTACCTTTCTCTCAGTAGCAGTCACATGAGGGCATCATGCCCTCAAAGCGCCATTTTAATCTTTGTTTAACGTTTGTTCTATGAAAGTGATCTATTCTGAATGACTAGGAGCTTCAAGATTCAAGGGCATAGTTCCTGTATTTCTTAGCTTATGCAAGTGGCTAACTTAAATTTTCTTTTATCTATTATGCTGTGCTCGATTTGTATGCATGAATTGATATTTAAATCTCTCTTGGATTGGTGAGGAAAATGTCTTATTTTTAGATTTTTTTCTCCAATCAAATTTCTGGGATTTTGAAACCTGAGATGGTCAAGTTCTCTATATGACCTTTTAGGTTTAAGAAATAATTTCATTGCAAAAAAACCCATTAAAATAATGCTTAATTGTTGGCTTTTTAAAATTTTTTGTGTGTGTATACTGTAAAATTGGATCTGACCGGTACAGGAGGAGCTTGCCCCTCCTTCTTCAGCAGAGCATCTGTTAATTGTTGTTTTTGTTGTCAAGTGCCTTCAAGTCCAGCACAACTCATAATGACCCTATGAACAAAAGACCTGAACCCTGTTCTATAATTATCGTTATTTCTCTACGTTCAGAGTTTCCAGAGGCATGTTGTTTAGGAAGTTGTTGCCACTCCGGCTTCCAAGTCTGTCTCAGTCTGGGAGCTCCATCAAACACTGTCCACCCTGGGTAACCCCTATGGCATTTGACACACCAATGGCACAGTGTTTAATTGATAAGAATATAAAAATAAAAGCCGAACGCATTGTTATTTGAGTCTGACTCCAGGGCACCCAGCAGGACAGAATAGAACTGCCCACACTGTGTCCAAGACTGTTAATCTCACGCAAGAGACTGTACTATATTTTCCCATGGAGCTCCTGGTATCTTTGAACATTCCCGTTGACAGCTGTGCATGCACCCCAGGGGTCCTCAATGTGAATATGTTGTTGTTATGTACCATTGAGTCAGAACCGACCGATAGCTGACCCTCCTGTGGGTTCTTAGTAGCAGTTCATCACACAGCAGGATATTTCCCATCTTTCTCCTGCAGAGCAGCTGGTGGATTCAAACTGTGGTCCTTTGGGTTGGTAGCACACCTTCTTACCATTAGACCTCCAGAGCTCCCTCAGTGTGGATACAGATGCACTAAATCATGGAGAAACTGTGCAAGCACAGGGCTGACTCTTACCTGAGAACAGCAGAAATTATGTTATCTGGGGTAATGATTGACTGTAAGTTAAATGCAAGTTTAATATTTTAAATACAGAGCAACTTTTTTTTTCTATAATTATATTTTATTAATTTTCATAAACATTTACAGAGATTTTGGGCTTCCACTCATTCATTGTTGCACGATTCTCTCTACCCTCCTCCCAGTTTGTTCTTGTCCAAATGCCACAGTGCTTGTCAAAGCCAGTTCTGATTAATCTTCTTTGTCAGTGTATCCTTTGCCATTCCCTATCACTCCTCCCTGAGAGAGACTTCACTCTGAGTCATAAGGAAAAGGGGACGGCGTATTCTCTTAGCTACTTCCTGCTGAAAAGGGACGCTGTGGGTTTCAGGGTGAAGATCTTCTCTCACTACTCTAAAGGGCCCCTTTGGCAGTAGGAAACACATAGACTATTATGGAGATTGATTTTGGAATTCAGATGCACTCTTATTGATTGTGCTTGGCTGTACATGTACATATCCTTGAAGATGTATCATGGGGGTGTTGCAACCTAGAAGACACAAATTTGACTAACAAGTTATAAGTACATGAGTCCAAAAATTATGGAAAAGTAAAAGAAAAGATTCTTTCATTGTTTTACAAACCTTCCCCCAGGTCCCCTCCACCATGCAGCCCTCGCTCTAGTCTCCTGTGATGACAGAAATACCCAGTTACATCTCTCTTTTAAACGGTTCTCTCCCTCCTCTGTTTCAGTGCAGTATACATTATTGAACCCATCTTACTCAGTCTCTCCCCAACCCCAAGGACAGTCCCATTCTACAACAGTGGCATCATGTAATATTTGTCCTTTTGTGACTGGGATATTTCACTCAGCATAATGTTCTCCAGAGTCAACCATTTTGAATAATATTGCATGAGTTCCTTGTTTTTTAATGCAGCATAGTATTCCATTGTGCGAATATACCACAGCTTCTCTAGCCATTCGTTTGTTGATGGAACTTTTTAAAGCTTAACATGCTACTGTGACTACCAAGGACACAAATTACACTTCACAGTTAACACTTCCCATGTGCGACGCTGATGTAATCCTTTTACATAACCAATTTACCCAGGAAAGAACAGGAGGCACTGGTACTCTCCCCTGTCTGCATCATCTGAACACCACACAGTAGCCGACTGGTGGCCCGGCCTGCCACCTCAGGGGCCAGGTTCCTGAGGGGCAGGAAGGAGGCTACCTCTTCCAGCTCCACCTGTGGTAATGGCTCAAGTGATGAAATGCTGCTCCGTCTTTGCTGACCTTGATGGAGCAAGAGCTGTCTACTAGAATATGCATAGATGCCTTTTAATGATGCTTATTACAGCAGAAATATTTATATTGACTTATGCTTTGGGTCTGTTTAGTAATGCTTATTGGAGGCCTACATGTAAATATGAAATATGTTGTAAAAAGTACACTCTTTGATTGGAAAAATGAACATCACTTCGCTATGCAGTTCTCTAATTTGAACCCATGTTTTGATAGCTGGGATTGTGCCATAATGCATTTAGGTGAAATGACCAAGGATTGTTTCTGTAGAACAGAGTTTTTTCTGTCTTTTAGTACTCCACAACAATTCTAATAAGATGATTTTAATATAGTTTAAACAAGAATCATGTGTAGAAATAACAAATTACTTTCCTGGTTTTTAGATGTGTGGTTTTTAACAACAGAGGAATGGCGGGGGAGAATCTCTTGGTAAGTACATCAAAATAAATTACATGTATATGAACTTTGTAAGTAAACCAGTATAAAATTTTTAAAAATTTTAAAAATAAGTAAATTACAACAGTCTTCATTTCCAGTATTAAAGTGTATTCTTTTTTTCACTTGAGATCATTTTTATTATATAAACAATAAAAATTTCTTATAGAAAAGTACAGATTTTTAAAAAGAAAATTTGTAAGACCTGTAACCACAATCAGAGAAATCCTTATAACCTATGTCCGTCTAACATTATATATTTATATAATACATATCATATATTTTTAAAAATGGAAACTGTTGTATAACTTACTTTTCTTTTACTTACAATGTATTTTAACAGCAGTATGTGCTTATCTAAGGAGCCCTGGTAGTACAGTGGTTAAGTACTCCGCTGCTTACAAAAACACTGGAGGTGCTTCATGGGAGAAAGATGGAGCATTCTGTCTCCATACGGATTGTTGTTGTCTTAGTCGTCATTAGGTACCATGGAGTCAGAACTGACTCAAAGCTGACCCTCCAGTAGGTTTTTCAGAAGCTGTAAATCACACCGGAAGAGATTGCCTATCTTTCTCCTGAGGAGCAGTTGGTGGATTTGAACCACTTGTCTTTGGGTTGTCGGCTACAACTCCTTACTGCCAGGTCACCAGAGCTCCCTCCAAAAAGATCCTCCATTAGAAATCTGATGGGGAAATGCTCCTCTGTCTTATACAGTTTCTAGGCATTGAGGTTGACTTGATGACAACAGATTTGGTTTTGAGTTTTGGTATTTATTTATCTGGAGTCCTTAAATGGCAGTTAGGATTTGGCAGCTAACTAGGAGTTTTGAGAACTGAGCAGACACGGGAGTGCCTCTAACGAAAGGCTGGCCAGCTCCTTCTGAAAACTCAGCTGTTGAGAACATGTGGAGCCTAATTCTCACACACGTGGAGTTGCCAGGAGCAGATGTCTCTGTAACCGGGTTTTATTCTCCTATATAATTTTTAACACGAAACACATTTTATTTAACAGCAAAAAATTAAACAATACAAATAACAAGTATAGTGATACTTCTTTTTCACTTGTGATTGTCTTTTGTCATAAAAAAACATTTTGTTTTTGTTTTTGATAAGGGATTTCTTTTATTTGTAAAATCATTTAGACACTGCCATGAAAATCCAGCTAGGCATTCACCCGGCATGAGACCCATCATTTAAAACAGGCTTCCACGTAAAAAAGGGTGAGGTATCATTTCATGTCCTTGTGGAAAGTCTCCTTTTCTTCAAGCTGCTGTTGTTGCATCATCAAATCTGCATTTCAGAATCTGCATCTCTGATGTGCTATGGCCAAGAGGTTATTCTTGAGATAATGTAAGCCCAGGCACTGCTCTCTGATGATTCTTTATTCGGCTAAGGGGGCACCATACTGTTCCTTTAGCAGCATCTCCATTATTCTAATTCCCTTCTGGGCAAAATACAGTTGAGAAATCCAGCCCCAGTGATTGAAATCCTACCTCTTTGAATAAACTCTGTCCAATTTGGATTTTCCACACTTTCCCGGAAGACTGACTCTTCCTTCATGGAAGCATACTGTGTCCATGTAAGGCAGTGACTCTGTATAGCCATGTTTCTTTCCTGAGGATTGCGCCACGATTCCTCTTCTAACTGGATATTAGGTATTTTTAAAATGCTCACCTTCCTTAAAATTTCTAGAATCACATTCTGACAGACTGCAATCCTTTTCCTATAGATGATTCCTGTGGATATATCTCTTTTTACTTCCACTATTGTCACAGAGATGACATTTTTATCCATGGGGTTGGGATACTTTCGGAGAAAGCTGTAAACTACCTGCTCGAAGGGGTACTTGTACACCTGGTATACATCCACCATGACCACCATCCTCGCTCCGCTGGCCTGTGCGCCAGCCATGCCTCTGGGAGCGCAGGGCCGCCCGAGCTCGGCCCCGGCCCACAGGTGTTCATGCCTGGACACCCGGAGGGGTGTGGTGGGCATTTTTTCACATTTTTATTTTTTATTTTATTTATTTTGAATTTTATTTTTAATAATACATTAGTATTATTATATGCCTGTTTGCCAAAATTTACATGAAGGAAATATTATTTAAAGCTTTAAAATAAAAATCCCACTGCCTTCTTATTCTTTTAAACCTTGAGGTTTCATTCAAATGCAAGTTCTTTCCTCTCTTAGAAAAGCCATAATTCTCTTTAAGATTTGGAAGCCCTGATGGCACAGTGGTTAAATTGCCTGGCTGCTAATAAAAATATCCAAAGTTCAAATCCGTCAACTGCCCTGGCAAGAAATATGCGGTAGTCTGCTTCCATAAAGATTAACAGCGTTGGAAACTTTATAAGGCAATGCTAATCTGTCATACAAGGTCATTATATGTAGTAGTTGTTTTGATGCCAGTGGGTTTAAGTTGGTTGGTTGGGTCTAAAGTTTAAACTTGTGATTTGAAGGTGATAATATTTCCTGACATTTTCTTACCGCCTTTTCACGGAGTTCTTCAGCCACTTTGATAAGTCATAGCAATTCTTCTAGAACTCAAAAAAGAACAGGGGCTTTATTTTGTATTTATTGTCTTTTGAGTCATTGATAGAGGGAAAATATAAAGACTATAAAGTCACAATTAAGTCATACTCAAAAGAAATATTTGTTGTGTCACAAATGATGGTGCTTTATGAGAAAAGGGTAAAATGAGAGCTCTTGGAGTTTGCTTCACATTGGCTTAGCCCTGGACAGAATTACAGTATGTTTGTATATCTCTACAGTGTTTCCGAAAGTTATAAAGCATTTTTGTTACTCAAGCCAAAAAGCTTCTCATACTCATGGCTGTTGAGTTGGAACCAACTCGTAGCAGGCACTCTCATGGGTTTTCAGAGGCTGTAAATCACAGAGGAGATTGCCCTTCTCTCCCATAGAGCAGCTGGTGGATTCAAATTGCCTGTCTTGGGTTAACAGTACAAGACCCTACCCATTAAGCCACCAGAGCGCCCTGTTACTCAAGTACCTGCTAATAAATGGTATTGTTGTTATTTTACCGTCAAGTCAGAACCAACTCATAGCTATCCCTCCAGCGTGCTATCAGAGGCTATAAATTATAGCAGGTGAGGAAATTGCCCATCTTTCTCCTGTGGAGCAGCTGATAGATTTGAACCTTTGACGTGGCAGCACAAATCCTTACTACTAAGTCACCAGAGCTTCCATATAAGAAATAATTTAATGAAAAGCTTTTTATTTCCTTATTTAGCGCAGCTTGTGATGAATTTTGTAGACAGAGGACTCTCAAGGGAAAGACTGTCTTTTGGCTCTACACCAAATAGATAGGTTTTGTGTAGCTACAGTGTATTGTCCATTCTTCTAGGGGCTTCCAAGACACCAAGATGGGTAAGACGGTATGAGGATTTCAAGCAAATAATAGTCCTATACAGCAGAGTCTCCCTCTAGTGCTCTCATGATAAGAAGCTGAGCTGCAATGCCAAAGGCACATGGTTCGAAGCCACCAGCTGCTCTGCAGGAAAAGGATGGACAGTCTCCTCCTGTGCAATTAACTGCCTCTGAAAACCCATTGAAGAGTCAGCTATGGGTTGGTTTCAACTCTATGGTACAATAGCAACAAACAACAATGTGTGAAGCAAAGATATGTTCATTCAGCAAAGCTGTACTATATGCCTAATCAGGATTGTACAAGGCAGTGGAATGAGGAACATGCACAATCCTGCCCCTTAGGGGCTCGAACTTTAGTTGAAGGAGAAAGGCAAGTATACAAAAGAGTATATTTTACACCATAGTAAGATTTGTTAAGGCTACAGAGCCCAGAAGGAACGAGTGATTAAATGGCTAAGGAAAGTGGAAGAACATCCCACAGGAAATAGCATTTACACTGTCTTGAGCACTGTGGCTTTGAATGCTGAAAACAGGGCATAGAAGGACTCTAGCTGGATAATGATAGTAATAATGACATCTCATTTCCTTGAGTCCTTAGAATGTATCAGTTAGGTCTTTTCATAATGCTTAGCAATGAAAAAGACTAGAAAAGAAACCCACTGCTTTACCTTTGATTCCAACTCCTAGCAACCACCTAAGTCAGAGTACAACTGCCTGGTAGGGTTTCCAAAGCTATAAATCTTCACAGAAGCAGACTCCTACATCTTTCTCCCATGGAGCATCAGGTGAGTTCTGACCACTAACCTTTGGATCTACAATCAAGCACTATAACCACTTCACCAGCCAGGCTCCTACCCAGTATATTGTTGTTATATGCTGTCGACTCATAGCGAACCCTGGTCTATCCTGTGCCAATCTTATTGTCTCCAACATGCCTATCCTCATTACCTCAGTGACGGAATCAGTCCGTTTCATCGACGGTCTTCCTCTCCTGTGCCATCTCTCCACCCTCCCAAGCATGACGTCCCTCTCCAAGGTCTGATCCTACCTTGCAACATGTCCAAAAAAGTATGTCAGACAAAGGTTCAGAATCCTTGCCTCCAAGGAGCAGCCTG